CACGAAGGAGCCCAATTTGCCCTTCTTAGGGAGGAGTGCAGTGCCCTGTACATGGGGCTCTTAGTGCTTCTGCATTCTCAGAATGCCTATGATTTGGCGTCAGGGACCCTCAAGAATCAACGTTGGTGGGCTGGAGGGAAAGAAACAAGCTTTAGTGAAATACTGGGAGAGGACATTTACTGATGCCAGATGCTGTGGTAAGGGCTTAATATCTTTATATCTTTACATCATCTGCAGAGCTCCCTTCTTAGAACTGCTCCACAAAACTGTACACCCGAAAAGGAGAGAAAGACAGAGACACACAGGGAGGCAAAAAAGTATCTACCCACATAGGCAAAGGGAAAAACGTACAACTAAACGCCAAACAGTAAGTATAGCCAATATACTCATGAGGATCTGGGTGAGAGGGAAGAACAATTTGATCGTGTATTAAAGGAATTCACACTTGCAAGCCATTACTGCATTTCTAAGTGTCCATCCAGAGGGCCCTGAGTGTCATTGTTCTCTGCTCTTTTACCCCCCCTGCTGGTAGTGCCAAGAAGCAGTTCTCAGGTCAAAACAGCAGCACGCTCTGGGGAGGAGGTGAAGAAATGAAATGGGTGTTTTATGCAGCGGTGCCTCACAAACGTTAAAACGCAAGTGTATTGCCTGGGAATCTTCGTAAAACACAGGTTCTTATTCATTAAGTCTGGGCTTGGGCCTGAGAGTCTACATTTCTAGCAGGTGATTCTGGTCCACAGACCACGTTTTGAGTAGGACAGCCTCCATCATCAATAATCACCAGCACAAAAACCCCTTCCTTCGGTTTCCCAATTTTATGTAGAATTGGTCTCTATGGCATTTAAGTAGTTCTATACTCAACAGTGGGTCCAACCCACACCCGAAGTACCTAAGTTCACTGGGAATGTTTATCCAGTGGTACCAGTGATTTACTTCTGCACAAGTCATTAGCTTCATCATACTGTTGATGGCATTAGAAGATTGAAAGCCAGTTAGAAAATGTTGCAATGACTTTGTCATACAGAATGAGATTTTTATTTTACAAGAGTCATTTAGGCAACCCTCTCATTTTACAAATCCAGAAGCTGAGGCACATAGAGATATATGACTGGGCCGTCGTCACACAATGTGTTCACAGCAGCCAGGCTAAAATCAAATTACACTGACACTGTCCTGATGCTGTCTGTCCAGATCACTTCTTATTTTTCTCTTTGTCTAGAATGATCAGACTCATATCTGCTAAATCCTATAGGTCATTGAAGTCCTAAATGGCAGATGACAAAGCTCAGGAAATACGTATGACAGTACACATAGTATCTCATCCTTTTCTAAATTAGTGTTCAGCTCTCTTATCAGTAGACCTAACCTTTAAATATCCATTAGAAGGAAAAAGAAATACTAGACCCTGTCGTATTAGCAGCCCTTATCTTGGATGCTTAGTCTTCATTTTGCTTTAGCCTTATTCCTGACTCCAATTTACTGCAACAGAATGCATTAGGTCCCAATTAATATTCTCTAAATATACCCATTAAAAACATAAATTAATTCCAATTTGTTGTGATTGAGAAGATTACTAAGCATGTTTTAAGTGAATGATTTATTATTTGGGTAGATTAAAAAAAAATGAATTGATTATTATATTCAGAAAAAGTTATCATAATTAAGTAACAAAACAGAAAGACTTGTAAGACCCTCAAATAAAGCCATCCTTAAAGTGGGGTTAGCCATGAACAATGTAATTTCACATCCTCAAAATCAAAATTCAATTTATAGTACGTCAGTGCTTTTTATGCCTGACTGAGAGTGAAAGGTGAATTTCCAAACTGTCCTTTCCATTCCCAATGAAAAAAAAAAGGCACAAGAGTAAATACAGTTTCCTGGCCTCTGAGATCCCACCCAATATAAGCATAAAATGAGATGAGCAAAGTGAGTGGGCGAGTGAAATCGTTTGTAACAAAAACTCATTATTTACAGATGAAAAATTTATATTGTCAGCATAATATCTCTGAGGCTAAACAGCACTGGAGAGTATATAAAAGCAGTGCACTTTGGTGCAGAAGTACAGAGCTCAGAACGCAGCTCATCTACGGTTCCAAGGAGGGCTCTCTCTCTCCACCTGCTCTGTCCCACACCCCGGTATCAGAGGTAAGATTAATATTGAGTGATTGTAAGACTGTATGTCTTGTTTTGGGTGCAGTTAGGTATTTTTAAGAGGACCAAGTATTATCAATTAAAGTATTGTTCTTTCATCTTGTACTTTATTAGTAATAATACACAGGGCAGAATTGAGATGAAAAAGTGATATAAAATGAACTTACGTGTATGTCAACACAGTGAAGCTGCAAAATGAGTTGGAGAAATAATTCAGTGAAAGGATATTAAGTTGAAAGAAAAATGAAGATTCAAATCAATGTATTTGCTAATATTTAACTGTTATGAGAACAGAATTTTAAAATAAGGGGTAACATTTTAAAAAAATAATCATTTTCCTTAGATTTGATAAATGTATGTATTTCTTTGAACAGAAGGCGCCTTTTAAATTCAGCAGAAATGTGTCCATTAGAGAGGCTATAATAGCAATTGCTCCTTACCAATGAAAACTTATAGTTTTCCAAAAGAGCGGAATCAACATCATCTTTCAAGTATTCAAATTTCTGATAAGTCTATCAAAAAATCAAAGTCCATGAAATCAGCTCTTTGTAAATAAGACAGCGCACTTGAGGCAGTGAACAAAGATCAATTATTGGGAATTCTTTAACTGGAGCTGGGTAAAACAGTAGCTTAATAATTACTATGTAATGAGAACCAACGGCAGTAAATACAATATCTAAAACATCCACACTCTGAAATGATATTATAGTAAATCTCTTTAGAAACAAATAATTTTACAAAGATCCTCAATGTCATAAATGACTGAGTAGCATGTTTTCCTACACATACCAAGGACCTATCAGAGGGGATGGCACTGACCAGTTTTAAAAAAGCATTTATTTGGCCTACACCACCAGTACATTTAGGGACATTGTACAATGTCACCTTGTCTATGTCTAAGATTAGTCTTTCTGAAAGACTTCTTACATAGGCAATACAATTGTTACCATATTTTCCCTTTAAATTGGAATGAATTTATCCTCAGGTGGGTGAGGCAGGTAACTAGAAATTCTCTTATTGAATAAGACTTTGAAACTACAGTAGCATAAACATTTACTTTCTCAGTAGTGGTATTCAAACAAACTTATTCTTAAGAGCTTTCACAATTCTGTAGACATTTATGAAGGAATAGATGACATTTTAAAAATCAGCATCCCTTTCAGCAGAACTCATCTGCCCGCCGGGAGGACCGAGCACTCACGTCTGTGTGGCTGCCTCCTCTTCCGTCAGCCTCCACAGCAGCAGAACCGCACATGCTTTAAACCCGCCTCCGTAGAACGCCATAGAAGGCTTTGTAAAAACCTTTAGGGACCTTGCTTGCATAGAAAGAATTATTTAGGATTAAATTGATTTTTCCAACAGTGGCGTAATTCTGAAAAGAAATGTTTGCTTTAACTTTTTTAAATTCCTGAAGGCATGCATTTATCATTGAGAAAGAAGTATAATCAGAAGACACTACCTACATATACAGCAAAGTTTCCAAAGTTTGCCACTAGATGAACAGAAGCATAGCAAAACGCCAAAATAGTAGTTGAGTGTTGCTTTGTCTAACTGATCACTTAATCTAAAGAGACTTCTTATTTCAAAGAAGAAAAAAAAAATACCACTGCTGGTGTTACAGTCTCCATGTTTTGGTGCCAACAATAGGACAGTAAGTATGACTAGGATGATAAAGAAAAGAGTGATAGTTTAAAATGATAATGTTTGTAAAATCCTCATTTCAAACCAAATGCCATTTGCTAAAAATACTCATTCAAATTATTTACAGATAAACATAATGAAACTTGGATTTAAATCCCCATTTCTCAAAGGAAACCTAGTTGGACTTGAATAGCAGAGAATGCTGGACTTGAAGTTTCTATTCAGAAAATAGAGGAGCTTGCCCTGTGGGGACATTCTGCCCCAAATTCATGCCAGTCTCACACTGCATCTTCATGCCCTTGGCATTCTATGGCTTCACAGGGCATCTGCTGGTAGTACAAGGATCGGCAACTAGGTGTATCCTACAACCAAGCCTAAGGTGTCACAAGCAGTGAATGTCATGTCCTGGATTAAGTCCAATTATTAAGCAACCTGAGGACTTCCAAGGCTTCAGAAGCAGGCATTCATTCTCATTATGACAGTGATCTCTTGAGTTTCTTAGTTGTGATTGTTCAAGTTGCCGGAAGCATTAGTTCTTGTTGCAAATTGCTTGTCTTTAAAATGATTTTTTCCCCTTTAATTTAGAACAGGTCAAAGCACCCTAAAATACCTCAAATCTGTTGGCCGCTTTATAATTACAAAGTCTAGACCAAGTTACACTATTTAAAATATAAATGAATAATACATCTGAACCGACAGCTGGTATGCCAAGTTGTAGCCTGAGGCTGCTTTAAGATGGTTGAAATGCAGTATAATGTAAATGCTTGGAAGTGAAGGACTATTAATTGAAAGCCAGACTGATAGTGAAGGGGTGGCATTATGGATAAGGTGGCATTCAGGCTAACCATATGTAGCATATCATCTACAGTGGGTATTTCAAATGTTTATCATGAACAGTTTTAATTCCAAGTCTGGAAATGAGCCTTCTAATTATTAACAGAAGTGTCCCACATTAATGAAAAAAGCTTAACGGTGGTACATATTTTTTGCATCCTTCTTTTGCCACCGAAAAAATCTGGGGGGAAATATAATCTACTATTTAAAATTAAACTGGAGATATACTCAGAATAAAATTAATGACTCGCTTTTGCTTTTTATTTATAATATTTACTTAGCCAAAATCAAACTAATTTAGCCTGATGGGTTTAAATATGGTTGCCTGTCTCCCCACCCCCCATCTCTCCTTGACTCCGTGTTCCAACAGGCAGCAAAGATGAAAAGCATTTACTTTGTGGCTGGACTATTTGCAATGCTGGTGCAAGGCAGCTGGCAACGCTCCCTTCAGGACACAGAGGAGAAAGCCAGGTACCACCTCTTTAGACTTGAGCTAATGTAGCACTACGGTTATAATACAGCCTGTGAAAACTATGATTAGGGAAGAGGTCTTAGTAATTTAGAGTAAATACTCTGCACAGTTTTCAAAACTTTAAAATATCATTGTGATAAAGTTGCTTCTGGAGTATAGATCAGAGTATGTTGTTTCACAAGCAAAGGAGTAGGCAATGTTGGGAAATGTGTTACATGGGGAATTATAGCTCGTTGAAATCTTCAGCTGATCCTCTCTATCCATTCATTACGCACACACTGCATAGTAGATTATTTTAATTATTCACACCAACTTTTTCTTTTTTTTATTCCTTTAAATAAATAACACTGTTTCTTATTAATTGTAAAAGTCATACATGTTCATGAAATAAAATATGCAAAAAGTTATGTATGTACTGTATATAGAGTATAGCTCAGATCATTATATAGCTTTGTGTTATGCCTTTTATCTTTTATCTTAGCATTGTATTGTTAGCCTTTATTTTATAGCATTAGAAATAACTGTTAAATGTGTGATATTGAATGGCTGCATACTATTTCATCGCATAAATGTACAATATTTATTTAACTATTCTTCTATTGAACACTTGGGTTCTTTAAATTTTCCAACAAAGAATGCTGCAAGTAACATTTCCCCCTACATTTTTTACTATTTTCTGAGGCTAGATATCTGATAGTAAAATTACTGTGTCAAAGGGTTTGAGTATCTCAGTTCTATTTCTGAGTATTAATTACATTGAATACTTCCCCATATTTGCCATGCCAATCAACTGTTGATTACTGGCACAAGGATCATCCACTATACAGTTTAAAATTAGCAATTGGGCTTTATCTTTCATTCTTTGAATTTTTTAATTGTCTTTCTCTTTCATCATTAGCTAACAAAATTTGGAACATAGATGAGCTACCCAAATGATTTGGGATTCTTCACTCTTTTAAAATAATCAAGTCATTGCTCTCTTCTGTCATTATTAGCATAATTGTAAGCACATTAATTAGTTGGAAAAAATATTTATTAATCTTATTTCAGTAAAGAAGAAGCCCGTTAAAAAATCTGTTACTAGGATTCAGAATCAGAGCATATTCAACTCTAATAAAATTCTGAGATTTCTGTGGCAAGCAAGGTGTCTCTGATGTCAACTGAAATACTCAAGATGCCTGCCTCTCAATTTTACATGGCCTTGTGTTTTATGGAGAAGATGCTCCTCAAGTGAATCTAGCCTTGAGGAGAGATTTAGTTGCACCAATCACTGTTCTTCACAGCTCATTCCCAGCTCCCCAGACAGACCCACTCAATGATCCAGATCAGATGAATGAAGACAAACGCCACTCCCAGGGCACATTCACCAGTGACTACAGCAAGTACCTGGACTCCAGGCGTGCCCAGGACTTTGTGCAGTGGTTGATGAACACCAAGAGGAACAAGTAAGGGTCTAAACCTAGTCCAAAATTTGCACGTAAATGCATTACTTACACATGTCTAAAATTTCTCCTGACTTTCTTACGTTATCATGCTCATCAAAGAGCGCCTGTAAGTTCTTTCAATTTTGATGGTTTTCAAGGTTGGTGATGCTATCCTTTGTATTATGTCTCTGAATGTCCTACCTCTCACCCTACCAAATGCCTTACCCACTCTTTAATGGAATGTAGACTTTAAATTGTTCCCCAACAGGGGTCTTAGTGATATTTACCCCCTTGCCCATTTTTCTATTAAAATTGAAAGCTGGCTTTTGTAGACCTGCAAGTTTAGGAATCTAATTTCTGACCAAAAGATAAGAGCAAATTCAATATTCCCTTGTAGGGTTCAAACTCATGACTGTGATCACATTTAAAGTAACCCCTAGCCAAGTTAATCATGGTAAGAAATGGAAACAGATGCAGTCTTTTTCTTATAGAATACAATCCAAGATACACATTTAAAATTTTAGCCTAGCTGTACCGCATAAAGAGAGAAGAAGGCAAATAAGAACACAAGCCTATCGTAAGGCATACATTTTAATGTTGGATTTTCGTTGACAGTGTTGGGTTTTATGATGCATGTAGGCTCCTGAAGGAAATCTTCCACAGGGTTTCACAGAGATGGTGGAATTTCACAATTTCATTGGCGTGTGGCCCACGGGGGAAGGGAGTTATGCATACAAAGTAGCTGAAGGAATCTAAAAATCAGGATAAGGGCATAGATTTTTCTAGATAGAATGGAGAAGGGAGAGAGAGAGAGAAAAAAAATTAATCAGCAGGAAGAATTAGAGACAGAGCAGTTGACCAAAAGTTCTTAAAGTGGAGGGCATTATAAGAAAGATGTTGGCCATGGTCAGAGCAAACACTGGGTGAAGTCCCTATTAGGGACTACAGATGTAGCTGTCAGTGAAATATGAGAAATCACAAATTTGAAAAAAAAAATGAAAACAACTGTCCTCATTTCTAGAAAGGGAATGCTACAATTTGGTAAACTAATGTAAGATAATCCTCACTCTCAGGTGATTTCTGTTGTGTGTTTAAGATGAATCCTTCCATGGGGATGTGTTTAAGATGACTCCTTCCATGGGTAATAGATGCCAGAAAGAGTGAGGGCAGCTGGTCAACCACCTACACAGACCGCTGCACACACTTGAGGGTGGTATGGGGTCATCGTCTGAGCTTTCCTCATTGCTGTCTCATCACACGTTTTCTTTCATCCATTATCATCTGGTCCTTTTGATGACATTTCTGAGATGGTCCTTCACTTTCCCTTGACTCATTTAACTATCTCTGACCACATATGTGCTAATAACAAGCAGCTACCTTGTCTGCAAGCAGTTTAGCACATTGGAGAGTCCACACACATCGAGACTGAAGTAAGTGCAGTAGTAATAATCAATGGCGCAGATAAGCAGGAGAAGTGAAAATGGGTGTGCTGAGTGGAGTGGGGGAGCATTAGTCACCCCACATTGTTATTATTTTTCTCCCATCAAACTTTAATTCCGATTGTTAATGTAGTTTCAAGATGAACCCCCTAGCTACCCTCATCTCCCAAATCTCCCTAAGCCCCTTGTACATAGAATCCTCAACCCAAAGCTGCCACTACTTATAGGTGAGAACCATATTGCTAAAGAGACAGATCTTCAATTTAACTTTCACATTTCTTTTAGGAATAACATTGCCAAACGTCATGATGAATTTGAGAGACATGCAGAAGGGACCTTTACCAGTGATGTAAGTTCTTATTTGGAAGGCCAAGCTGCCAAGGAATTCATTGCTTGGCTGGTGAAAGGCCGAGGAAGGCGAGAGTAAGTCTGTACATTCTTATTTAACTGTGTGTGTGTGTGTGTGTGTGTGTGTGTGTGTGTGTGCGCGCGCGCGCGCGCATGTGTGTGATGCTGAAAACTTAGACTACAGTTATCTATATATGGAATGGAATTGTAGAAGCAATTAGTATAATCTCACAAAGTACGGAAAAAACTCCTATTGGTGGGAGACTGTCTAAGATTCTAATCTGTTTTATCTGTAGTAGCAAGTATTAATAATGAGTCAAACAAGTGACATTTTTATCCCAAGTTAGAGTTGTGTTATAATTAGGCTATTAATTTTTCAATCCAACATACTTTTGAGAATAGGGTGCTTTTAAGAAGTACACCAGGACAATAAGCTTAAAGTAGAAAAACTAGGGATAAGAAAAAAAGAAATAATGCTGAAAACTTAAAGTTTGACTTTAAATATTTACCTATGAGATCAACATATATTTGTGTTACTAAGTATTTAGGTAAAAATCTGATGAAGACTGAGATGAACTAAACTTAAGATGTTTAATGAAATGACACCCAAAATAGAGATATGTGCAAATATCTATGTTTAACAACATACCCATTTTTAATCTAAATAACCATTACTTTATCACAGTTAAAAACGAGAGCAAGACCTTTAGGTACCTTCTTGGATCTTATCACAACCAGACGTACCTCTGAACTATCTCATTATCTCCTGACCATTTTGACTGACATTTGAATTATGAGAAGCAGGAAATTCATGTTCAACTCGCTTTTTAGTGAGATTTAAAACAAGCTTACTGAGACTTAAAACAATGGGGAACTGGTATTGTCAGTGGTTTTTAAACTTTAATGATACAATTTTCAAAACCAGTGGTAAATTGGCCACTTATATTTCAGGATATTTTATAGTATTTTAAGGAGATACAAAGAATTCTGCTAATTAAACTGATCAAAGAGAAAAATCTAATATAGATTGAGGTTTAATCCCTTAATACTGCACTTTGCAAGGCTGTTCTGATAATCACTAGTTTTACGGTATATATTTTCCTGAATTACAAACAAATTAATCGTCTCAATAATAACTGCTGCCAATATACTAAAATATTTGAAGCAGTTGGAAGACGAAAAAAGGCATGATCTATACGGACTTGTTTTCACGTCCCAGCTCTGCTCTGTTCTTCCTTTCTGACGTGCACCAATTCACACAGGTTTCTATGAAGCTTTTCATAGTAGGCCCTCTGTAAACAGCAACATAACGTTTTCTCAGTGACCCTCACACCTTGCCAGGGATAGATGGTCCATACGCATTTATTTAAAGCATGGAACCAAATGCTGATCATGTCCCCCTTTCCTCAGTTTCCCAGAGGAAGTCACCATCGTTGAAGAACTCCGCCGCAGACACGCTGACGGCTCCTTCTCCGAGGAGTTGAACACAGTTCTCGATAATCTTGCCACCCGGGACTTTATAAACTGGTTGCTTCAGACCAAAATTACTGACAGGTGATTGCATCTTAGTTCATTCTGAAAATCATCAGAACTTTCATAAACACTATCATACTGCTACACGTTGTGTCCTATGTGGGGAAGAGAGTCTTAACTCTCTTGGTACGTAAGCAAAATTATAAATCATTTAAGAGTACATTATCATATGTGTTTTAGAGTATCACACTTTTATTCATTCATCCATTTATTCCAGAAACATTTTCTGAATGTCAATAAGGAGCAGGGAATTAGGAACAGATAAGAATGAAACATGGAGATGTTATCATTCACATGTTAATGTCACATTACTAATTGCTGTGTGTGTTGAAATTTTAGCACAAAATAATACCAGTATATTTGGTATTATATACTTAATGCAATAAGTATATTAATTTAATAAAATCTAAACACCAAAATTAACCACTTATTTTGATGGGTAATAATTGCTTTCTATGATTATTTATATACTCTATATTTCTTGATAGGGGAAGTTTAGGATAAGTCATCTCTGAACACAAATATTTGAAAAGTTCAAAAGACTAAGAGATTTATAATATTGAAAAATTAATAAACAACTTTTATCAAAATAAATGTTTGAAATGTTTCCTGGATAATTTAACTACATCATCTGAGTATGATAGCTCTGTCACATCACTGTCTTTTGTGTTTTGTCTTTAGGAAGTAAGTCACTGTTCAAGATCATCTTCACAACATCATCTGCCAGCCATGCGAGATGTTCGAAATTTTAAGTTCTGTAAATTTAAGAGGTGTGTTCTGAAGCCATATTGCTTTGCATGCCAATGAATAGATTGCCTTTTAATACTGTGTTGCCAAAAGATTATAAATGGAATAAACCATTGTCAAAATACTGCTAAAATATCAGCTTTAAAATATAAAAGTGCAAAATCTCTTATTTTCTTCTTATTTTGGATGAAGTACCCTAACCTGCTTATAGTTAGCAATGAAATTGTTTTCCTAAGATATAATTTGTACATATGAATTATTCCAATCACAGTGTATTTGCATGACAACAAGGGTTGGGCTGGTAGCCACAGTGGTGAAACAGGAAAAGGAACTTTCTTCTTGAAATTTTTGTCATGAAAACGCTCAGCTTTCAATATATCAAAAACGAACGTAAATAAAACCTTCAAGCTTCTTTGCCATTGCTTGTTTTCTCTCGGCGTTGTGCCCTGACTCCCAATCACCTTTTCTTCCTAAACCTGAAGCCCACAACCCAAATCTGGTGCCCAGGCACTGCTACACGTTGTGAATGGCTGCGAGGTAACATTTTGAGCCAACATTGAAAACCCCTGGTATTTTATATTAATATATTGATTTCTGGCTTCTCTTGAAAGAGTAGGACAGCAGGCAATATTTGACCCACAAAACAAATTTCTTCTGGGGCTGAATACCAGCTGCCTCCTTTTGAAGACTCACAGCTCACTATTGTGCGCCCTACACACACACACACTACACACCTATGCATATGTGCTCACACACCCACAACCCACATAATGTACACATGCAGGCACTTTCTTCTGCCCCACTTCATTTATACATCTTCCTTGCCTGGCACCTGCAGATATAAGTGTCTGCCATTCCAGTTCCCTTATCTCCCCATCCAGCAAAGTCCAGTATCTTGTGCCAGTCTGGTGTTAACTGCCGTGCCAGAGACTTTTGTTTTCTTATGTACAGCATTGCCAACTCCCTTCCTCTCTTTTATTTTTTTATTGAAATATAATAAACATATAACACTCTGTAAGTTTAAGTTGTACAATGAGCTGACTCGACACATTTATTTATTGCAATATGATTACCACCTTGGTTTTAGCTAACCTTCTAGCAAGTCACATAATTATTATCTCTTTTGGGGATGACAACATTTAAGATATAGTCTTTTAGCAAATTTTAAGCATATAATACAGTATTGTGGATTTTAATCACCATGCTGTGCATTAGATCACTAGAATTTACTCATTTTCTAGTTGAAATGTGTACGCTTTGACATCTCCCCAGTTTGCCCACCCCGGGCCTGGTAATCACCATTCTACTCTCTGTTTCTGTGAGTTTGGCTCTTTTAGATTTCACATATGAGTGATATCTTACAATATTTGTTATTCTCTGTTTGTCTTATTTCACTAAGCATAATGCCCTCAAAGTTCATTCATGTTGTTGTCAAATGGTAGAATTTTTTCTTTCCCGTGGCTGATAGAGCAAACAGAACAAACAATAAGATCTTATCAACTCAATCAACAAAACAAACTTAACGTTTATAGCACATTACACCTAGTAATAATAAAATTAATATTTAAGTACACATAGCACTTTTACCAAGATTGACTTTAAGCTGGATCAAAAGTCTTCAATAAATTTCAATGATTAAATTATTCAGAGTATGCTCTTTGACCACAGTGGAATTACGCTAAAAATAAAAAACAAAAGATACCTTACAAATTCACAAGTACTTGAAACTAGGCAATCACTTCTATATAACCCAGGGGTCAAAGAAGAAATCAGAAAAAAGAAAATTAAAAAATACTTTTGAATTCTATGAAAATAAAGATATAATAAATATAAACTGAAGATGCAACTAAAGCAGTATTTAAAGGTAAAATATGGATTTAAATAAATTTGTTAGAAAAGAAGAAATTAGAAAATCAACAACTTAGCTTTTACTTCAAATCAGTGGGAGAAAATAATGAAATGTAGAAAAATTGGCAATAAAAATGAAGAAAGCCAAAAGTTTGTCCTTTGACCAGAATAATAAAATTAATAAGTTTCTAGCAAGCCTAGGTAAGAAAAAAAAGAGGAAAAAATACCAGTATCTGTAATGAAAGGGAACATCTCTGAAGATCTTATAGACAATAAAAGTATAATGAGAATATGGTATAAAAAAGTATATGCCTGATAAATTTGACAATTAGATAAAATGGACAAATTCCTTTAAAAGCATTATGAAGATAGACACAAATAATACAAAAATCTTAATAGTCCTCCGTGGAATATGAAAGTTGGATGCATTATTTTGAAAATTTTTTCAGAAAGAACTTCCAGCCCAGATGGCTTAACAGGTGACTTCTTCTAAACATTTAAGGAAGAAAAAACACCAATATTACATAAACTCTTCAAAATAAGGGGAAAATAAAGAATATTTCCCAGCTCATTTTATGAGGCCAGGGTAACACTGGTACAAAAATCTGACAAAGATTTTATAGAAAAGAAAAATAAAACACCCATCTGATTCATGAACAGAGGTGAAAAATCCTATACAAAAACCTCAATGAATCAAATCTAGCAATATATAAAAAATATTACAACACAATCAAGGTGCATTCTAAGAATTTCAGGATGGTTTATCATTTTTTAAAAAATCAGTGTAATTCACCACTCTAACAGAAATAGGAGAAAATTCATATGTTCAGTTTGATAAGTATAACAAATACAACTGATGAAATTTAAGATCATTAAGAAGAAAATAATAAAGCTAAAATCTTTAACTACTTTGGGTACCAAAAAATAAATAATTTTTATTTATTACTTATTATAAGAATAATAACTCAAAATTATGATTTTATGAAAAGTAATAAAGTAGAATACCACTAACCAACCTAAGCAAAGAATAAAAGTAAACAATATGTAACATAAAATGAATTGGGAAACATCCACCAAAACATGAAATTAAAACAAATTTGAGACTACTGAAAATACTGAATAAAATAATTTTTAAATCTAGGAGAGATGGATAAAATTTTTTTAAATGTAATTTTTAAAAATTGTCACGAGTAGAGATAAGAAAACTTAAACTGATTCCCAGAGAGGAAATGTTCAGCAGTATCAGAGAAGTATCTCATACATAGGTACCAGATACAGGTGATTCCCCATGTAACTGCTATCAAAGTTTCAGAGTGGGTAATTACCATGCTTCCTAAATTATTCCAGCACCTAGGGCAAAGAAAGAGAAGACTGACCTAATTCTTCTAATAAAATGAGTATAACACTGAAACCTAAACTTGATAAAGACAATAGTAACAAAAAGAAAATTATGGGCTAGTTTCATTTATGAATATTGATTTTGAAAACCTAAAAAATAATTTGCAAATAGAATTCAACAGCATATTAAAAATATTAATACACCATGACCAAATGTAATTTATTCCAAAATTGTCAAGGGTGTTTCAATATTAGGAAATCTATTGCTGTAATTATATTATATTAAGAGATCTAAAATTTTTAAAATGATCATCACACATGCTGCACAGGCCTTAGACAAACATCAACACCGATTCATCATACAAAAATTCACTAAAATGGTATTAGGCACTATACGCTTATATCAAATTTGCAAAATTCAGCCAACTAAATGGTGGCAACAATGTGCAACAGGTGGAAGTCTCATGCATCCCAGGTGGTAATATAAAATTGGACAACAATTTACAAAAACTATTTGGAAATTTATTAAAAAGTTAAATGTACACCTACTCTATATATTAACCAAAACAAACAACGTAAATATCCATTTATGCACAAGAGACTGGTTGAATGAATCATGTTGAAAGAATGGGAAGTACATAGCCATTAAAAAATGTTTGTATATGTATGTATAAGAATAAGGCTGATTTGAATAAGGCTGTTCTTAGTGGCTTTCATTATAGACAAAAAATGAAAACAACATGAATGTCCATCAATGGAAAATGGACAGAAAAACTGGCATATTCATAAAATAAAATATTACATAGTAAAAAGGACAAGTTATTAATACACATAGCAACATGGATAAATCTCACAAACAACATGTTACACAAAAGAAGCATAAACAAATAGAACATACTACATGATTCTATTTATATGAACTATAAAATGCCAAATACAAAATAGAACATACTACACAATGATGTTTATATAAAGTTTAATAACTATACGAACTAATCAGCGGTGGCAGAACAGCTTTGTGGTTGCCTCTGGGCAAGGGAAATGTGGAATTTGAGCGGGAGTAGACACAGAGAGCTTTCTGGAGTAATGGAAATGTTTTATTTCTTGATTGAGTTATGGGTTACATGGGTGTATACATTTATCAAAAGTCAGCAGAATGTGCACTTAATTTATGTGCGTTTCACTGTATATAGGATTATGATTTAATAAATAAATCTAAACATGCAAAATCTATATGAATAAAGCAATATTAAACTATTCTGAGATCTTTCTAGTTCAAAATCTTGACAATACATTCTGTTGACAGAATGCGGGTACATAGAGTCTCAGATACACAGATCAGCACGCAAAATGCCATCACCCCTTAAGGAGGGGAAGTTGACAGTATACCAAAACCACTTACACATTTCCCCTTTGATGCAACAGCCCCAGTTCTAGAAATTTACCCTGAAGATTCACACTCAAAAATAAAAATCGATAAGGTTATTCCTTGCAAATATTGATTGTTCATTGTAAAAAATCAGAAACAGCTTGCATACCCATCCATTGGGTACTGATAGAATGAAATATACATCTATGAATTTGGAATGTGTATAGCCATTTGGAAAAAAGAACGTTCATAAAGATAGGTATGTTTTTAGTACAATTATTAGTGCAATAATTCAAGAACTGTTAGGAATTAGTTTCTCACTACATGAGAAGGAAGAAACCATATGGAATAGGAAAAGTGAGGAAATACTATGTAGATTTGAACTGGAGGTATTAGTATGTGTGTGTACATGAATATATGTGTGCTTCTTTATGTACATATACATGAATTATATAGGTGTATATACACATATGTCTATGCACATACATATAATTTTATATAACACATATATGATATGAGAGAGGGCATTTAGCTAAGCTACTCCATAGTATTGCTGTCTAGCATCCTTTTTGTGAGGCTAAGCAGCCTGCGGGGTCTTGAACTGTCACTGGCCTCTCCCTGGAGCACATGCCCTAGATACAGCTGCAGAGTCATAACTAAAGTCAAGTCCTGTAGGACTCCTCCTCCAACAACTTTTGTGATAAGCATTCTTCATGCCATCCAGAGCCTCCCCCTTGTGCATCCCTTAGAAAAGACAAGATCCATGGAGCTTACCAAAACCCCACCCTTTTGGTATGAATTGAGCAACTGAGCCTTAGCCCAGAAATCCAAAAGCACGTTGCCCTCAGACCCTGATA